CAGAGCGCACAGGGCGCAGCTGGTGCAGCCCCGGCCTCAGCCCCCCCCCCCCACACACACACACGGGGCTCGCTCGGGGCCACTTTGCAAGATCTTGCAAGAGGAGGCCCAGGGTTCGTGGCCTGGCGAGCACCAGGGGGCCTCCTTCTTACTTATTTATTTCAGAAACAGCTTTACTGGGGCGCAATCGACCCACCCTACAAGATTTTCACGCCAACCCTGAACCCCGCCAGGGTTAACCCCCGTCTTTCTTTGTCCCCTCAGCCCCTTGACAGCTAGGGACCCGGCTTCTGTCACCCCCGAATCCTCTTTTCCAATGGAACCGGTGTGGAATACCTCTGTTTTCCTGGCTGAGTACTATTCCACTCCACAGACAAACGGTCGTCTTTCCATCCCTCCGAGGCCAGTGGGTGGCCTGGGCTTCTTGGCCGTTCAGAGTGACATCCCCTTAGGGCTTAACGGTGACAGCCTCAGAAGGAAGGGTTGACCCATAAAGCGACTGGGCTGCAGAGCTCACGGAGGCGGTGATGTGACAAGAGATTTTGCAGCCGCCATCAGGACCAGATGCATCCATCTGCATCTGGCAACAGTTGGGCTTCTCCTACAGTCAGTCCCCTGGGCAGGTGCTGGGGCTGCCCTGGGTGCCAGGCTCCCAGAGGACAAGGTCGCTCCCACCCTGGACGGCAGAGGCTGGACCAGGGTCCCTAACTGATACAGCACAGAGCAGGTGGCCTGGGTGACACGGGCCTGTGTTCTGCTCTGTGACGTCATGGATGTCACCTGCTCATGCATCCCGCACACTCACTGTGTCTGTCGGAACTGGATCACGTGTGACGCCGTCCGTGAGGCACGGGATGGCACAGGTCTCCATCCAGGATGCCAGTCGTGCCCGTCACGCGCGTCCCCTGTGAGGCTGGGTCCTGTGGCATTTTATGGGCAGTGAGTGTGCTCTGCATCACGTCACCTGCAAACTGCACCTGAGCTCTGAAGAGTGCGTGTAATAGACATGACTTACCAGCCCGGCTGGCAGGTGACTGTGTGTGACAGAGCCATACCTGACGTCACTACGTATTGTGTTATAGATTATTATTATTATTATAGATCATTGGGAGGATGTGACTGTTCCCACATTATTGCATGCATACCYGTGGGGATCATTACATGCACACCTGTGGGGATSATTRCATGCAYAYCTGTGGGGATCATTACATGCACACCTGTGGGGATCATTACATGCATACCTGTGGGGATCATTGCATGCACACCTGTGGGGATCATTGCATGCATACC